TGACTGAAGAGGAATATTTGAATGTGACAGGATAACATTTATGCTGGCAATATGTAGAATGGATACTATCTAGCAGACAAGATGGTACTAGCAATTATTACAGTAATGCATTCTGAAGAGTCCATTTTATTTAACCCTATTTAGGGTAAGTCTAGTATTCACATTAATCTTGTTCCCTGCTCTATGCAAGGACTCTAAACCTACTCTTTCCTAGCCCTACTAGAAGTCTGGAATAGAACTTATCCCTGAACCCTAGGGATAAAACCCTAGGTCCCTAAAACTAGGGTAGGGCCACATAGCCATTCTCTATCCTGCACTGGTGTTTCATCATCTTTCTCGAAAAGAAGAGCTGCTGCTTGGAAAGGGCTTGCACCAGAGAAGGGAGTCCCAGACAGCAGGGAGCTCCCAGCATTAACTTGTATTAGCCTTCACCATAAAGAGTTATATTTTCCTAGCAAGACCAGACAGCCTGGAGAGCAGAGCTTTAAAGGGAGGCAGACTGGCCTGCACCCACAGCCTCCCAAAATAAATTATGACCTGTGAGAAACATTAGTACTGTAATACTATCATAGTCTGGATGTAGATATCAGAAGTATTAATGGCATTGTCCACCATCAGATTTCATATTTACTATTTCGCTGGCCACGAGAGGGAGTCCCTAGACTTCCAATCAAATTCTATTGCAAGTCTTCCATTGAAGTGAGGAAGATTTGAATTGTTTTTTTTTAAGCTTTCACTTGTTAGCTGGAGTAACAGCTTTTAAAGAACTAGGAAAGACACAGCTTTGAGAATATAACACATTTCCTCATAATAGAGGAGATTAGTGTTAGCACTTTCACAGTTTTTTTTGATTCACCCAGCAGTACTTTCAAGCAGGTAAGGGGAAAGGTGTGTTTAGCTGTTATTAGGAAGTATTATTCAAGCAGTTTGAGGATTCATAGTGTGAACCAGTCGTTCTCCCACCAGTAGAAAGTGAATATAAATTGTCAAAGGAAAACAGGCCCTCCTCCAAATCAGTATATCTCCTGAAGTACTATTTCTTTCCCCCGCCCCATAGGGGGTTGGATCATGTGAAAACAGCTTTTAATATTAATCCCATGAGCATCTTAAATCAGCTGCATTTAAGGCATGTTAATTGTAAAAAAAATAGCAATATTACTATGTGGACATTTTAACATGGATTTATTTTTTTATATATGTTTCTTCACTCCAAGCTCTGTGGAAGCAGATAGATAAACAAGACTAGCTGCCTTCTGGCAATAATTCAGTCACTTTATTCTGAGCAGAATTAGGGGTACAGAGTTAACAGCTGCAGCTACAACTGCACCAATTTCATTGTACAACTACCATCAGTGCTGCCCGAATACTGCTCAAAACAGCCACCAGAATCTCAAGTTGCATTCAGTTATTCTTCTTGAGAAGAGCTGAGTGAGATCAACTGAGAACAGATATAGCTTTTAGGAACAGGGAACGTTCAGAGATAAAGCCACCACCCCCCCCTCGCTTTAGGGGTAACTGAATAACAAGTTCTGAACAATACTATAGTTTGCATCTTGGAAAGTTGAGAGAACATCTTTTCTAAGAAAAGAATTAGGGAAGCCATACTATTCCCATATAAGTTTTGCAGTTTTGAAATACTCAGGCCATTGTTGATGTCTGGTGAAAGTAAGCTATTTCCACTATCTCAGTGGAACAGAGACACAATGATAGTTTTTTTTAAAACAACCTACTAGGAAACTAACAGTTCAGAATTCCTCAGGCAAGATAATACAGTCAGCAACAGTACACTGTCTCATTCTCTCTTCCTCACTTCAAGCCCTTTGTTGCAAAATATCTTAATAGATTTCTGCAAAGCCATGACCACCTGTTTCCACAGCTTTCAACAATGAAAATATCAACCACCTTCATAAAGGCTTTTGTTCTAAGGAAAAAAAAAAGTCATCTTTCAGCACAGCACCAAGATCCAAAACAGAATTTGAACCTTAAAAACCTCATGGTTTATCAAAGATTTTTTTTAACACTAGGTAAGTTTATTTGCACATTATTTAACGAGGTTCTTCCACTCATACATTCAGGTATCACAGCTGAGCAAGGGCACCTGTGTTAAAGTTTTAACATTAAAGAGTGGTTGGATGCATAAGTGCTAAGCTTCTAACTCCCAAACAAGACCTGTTCTAAGAAAACATCCAAACAGAAATAAAGTGCCAGTGTGATCTGGCATACTACCTATCCCAAGAAAGTAGCATCATACGACAAGTAAACATTTTGGTCGTGTTCTTAAAGAAACATTGCTGAAAGTAGAACTAAAACAATGAAGTGCAAGTGCTTGAGAAAGCTGGTAGAACAACATACTTCAGGCTCTACCATGTCATCCCCAGCGCACGCTATGAGGTGCACAGATATAATAAGGTGATGGGAACCAAAAGTATATATGAAGGACAGTCAAGATTACACAGTCGCTTCAGATTAAACAAGTTGCTTGTCTCATGCCACCTTGAGAATCTCAACCCAAACAAAGGCCTCTCAAAACCGACCAGTCAGTCAAGTCTGACTTGGACTTTCCAAGTCAGGGAAACCTCTGCCTCCAACTCTACTTCTGTGATCCACAGCTTCAGGCACCTTTTTTTCTTTTTTTTTTTTTTTTTTTTTTTTTGGGGGGGGGGGAAGAGAAGCTTACTTTTGTGTAACGATGTGGGTATTTCGTTGTAATTCTGTTCAACTCAAGGAAAGCATCCCCATTTTCAGTTTCCGTTACACCTCCTCTTTTATCCATGGCTACTTCAAAGCCTTTGGCCATGGACCTAATAAAAAAAACAAAATCAAGGCATCAAATTTTAAGACACGCGTTTCTGGGG